CACTGAATTAAGAGAAAGTAGCTGTGTATCTATCCTATTTTGTACATACAGATACTCTATGAAATACACGTATTTCAGTACAAAATGGTCCTTCGTTTATATCCTTCTTTTTTGTTCAGTTTTGTCAGAGATGGGTATTCCATTGTCATTTAAGATATTGTAGGTATGTGAATTCAGCAAAATAATCCAATACAATCTGGCAGTCCATAATAGCAGTGGCTTTTATAAGTATACCTTGTTCCAAATATTCCCAGCAGTGTCAGTAAATGCCTTCCCTGCTCACTGCTTAATATAGAACACCTCTAAAACCACTCTATTATTCAATAGCACTGTGATCTTAGGCAATTTACTTCATTTCTCAGTATCACAATTGTCTCATCTACAAAATGAGGCTAATACTTGATCCATAGCATTAATTGGCTTAAATTGAACAATAAAATTAAAATACACAGTGCACTGTAAGTCATTAAAATTAGCATGTGCAAAGTGTGCCATCTTGCTACAAAAACATTTATGTTTGCTTTTTCAAATAGGATGCTTATTTAACTTTAAAGAAACTATACACAGGATTTTAAGATAATTATGTAAAAACTTCAAAGCAATCCATGAAACAATAAAAGATACACAGGTAAAAATAAATAAAAATTCTGAGTTAGGGAACCAGAAGCATGACAGCTTCTTCCAATAGATGACAAGCAGCCTTTCCTATTTACTGGCTGAAGGAAGCTGTTTGTCCACTAAATTTTACAGTACTTCATACTACAGAAACGTAAGTCAACTTTGGTATGTCCTTTGATACATATATCAAAGTGAATGTCACACATGCATGATTACTTACATAGAGTATTCTAAGGAATCTGTGAAAAAATCCCAGAAATTATAGCAGAAAATTCCTCCCAGTCAGTATACCTCAGTTTGTTAGTTGCCAAGGTAATAGTTCCAGTTCCTGTTACTTTTGTTTCTTAGAAACAGCTGGTTACTGTGATGCATAGTTCAAGAATCAAAGACAGCCTAGTAAGTCTGCCTTTGTACTCACTTTTTCAACCCCATAGAAACCTTCCTTCCTGATCCTTTAGGGCCTCATATTTTGGGAATGAACCTGATCAGAGCCCATCAATACAAAATAAAGGTGTTTCCACATCCTGGGTGTCCTTTCAGTGTTTTTTCTTGCTGTTGCAAAGCAGGTTTTTTTTAGCAAAGTTCCAATACACTAAGTAAGATTATAAGCAACTGTGTCTCTTGGGGTTTATCTAAGGAGTACAACATAGATTTACCATTTTCATATGTAATCATCTGTGTAGAAATCCTACATTATTTTAAAGTGCTACTGAATAAATGAGTTAATTCAATTCCATTACGAACTCTATCTTAACCAAATCAACAAGTTCTACTGACTTTATTTTCGTTCATTTCTCTTCATGCCCTCCAATCATTAATTTTCCTAGTAACTTCATTATTCCACCATCCTCCAACCATCTATTAGTCACCAGCTATGCTATAATCAAAGTGATGATCCATCTAACAAGTACAAGTATCATGCTATTACACAAATTCATAGGTAAATATATTAACAGAATGAAAGGTACTTCATGATCTCATATACTACTCAAAACTTATCTTTTACCACTCTTCTATTACTGTAAATACTTCCCAAATTAACTTTTTTTCAAATTCTTAAAATACAGCATTTCTGTCACTTCACATTAAATGGCTGTACTATTGCTGCGTCTTTCTGAAACATTTCTCTGTATATCAGCTATCATCAGTCATTCCTTTCCAAAGTGGGAGAGGATTAAAACAGAAAAGAAGGGGGAAAGAAGGGAGGAAAGAGAAGAGAAAGAAGTACTTGGCAGGGTATCCAGGAGGTTTATGCAATAGGTAGTAAGAGCCTACGTTAAGGCACACTGTCATACTAGATACATGATACAAATATGAGAGAAATACTAACGTGAAATATAGTCAAGTATTTTAGCAATTACACTAAAATCATGGATTGGTAAATACTGGTCATCTTCTATATGACATTTCCTGTTAAGTACTAAAATGTGATAAAAATAAATTCAAGAACTCTGTCATATAAAAAAGAAATCTTCAAAGGATTCAAAGGATGAATCAAATCATTCCTAATAAATTAATTCATATTTTAGTAGTCTTGACAATTCATCAACTTATAGCAGTGATTTTCAAAATGTGTCTCTTTGGACCAGCAATATTAGCATATATAGGAACTCAACTGAAAGGCAAATACCTGAACTCCACAGTAGATCTTACTAATCAAAAACTCTAGGCAAAGGGTATTTACTCCAAGTAAAAAATGCACAAGAATAATAAATATACTCTCAAGGTTTTGATAAACAGCATGATGATTAAGGCCACTGTCAATGGTTTAGTTAAACTTAATTGTAAACTTGACAAGTTTAGGAGCTACCTAGGGGACTAGAAAAGCATACCTGTTGGGTGTGTCTGCATGGGTCATCTTTTGATAGTTTGTGCTGTGATTTTGGCATTTTACTGGTTTCTCTTGTTTCCTTATCTTTGAACCCTGTTGGGTTCTATACATAGTGCTTGGCTCCTCCTCCTTTGGCACTGTTACCCCAGCTCTGCTTCCTGGCCACCATGAATTAAGCTATTTATCTATATTATGGACTGAATCCTCTGAAACTACAATGAAACTGCCCTTCTCAAAGTTGTGTCAGTACCCTGTCCAGCACTGGGAAGGCTAAGCAATGCAGAAAATTTGTCACTGTTGTGATTGTATTTGACTATGTGGTTCAGAAATCTCTGGAAACGCTTTGCAGGAGTTTGTAAAGGTTTTAAGATGTGGGCTAGAGAAACATTAGAACGCTGTGAATAGGACTTATTGAACGTTAGGTGTCTAAGGATATCATAACGTTGATGGGAACAAAGATAATAAAGGCCAGACTCACAGACTTACTGATGGGAACAGATATTCCACTGGGAACAGGAAGGACTAGAGATCATGGATGTTACTCTGGAAAAAACAAAAACAAAAACAAAAAAACACCACCAAACCTCTAAATTCTCTAAACTTCATTCATATCTCAAGACTTTTTGGGAGGCTAAATTTAAGGATACTAGACTAACTGATCTGGTAGTGGAAATTTCAAAGCATTCCAAAGGCCAATAAATATATGAGAAAATGTTTAATAACATTTTTAAACAGAGAAATGTAAAATAAAACTACAATAAGATTCTATCTCTGCCCAGTCAGAATGGTTATTGATAGCTCAGTGGTCTAAGTGCCAGCTTGGCAAGTGCAAGGACTGGGTTCAAATGCCACTACCACATGCTGTACCAGCCACATGGTGTGCTGACCACTGAAACCAGGCATAGTGGCACATGCCTAGAATCCCAGCACTGGGGAGGCTGAGACAGAAGGATCACTACGAGTCCAAGGTGTGTAGCAAGACCCTGTACCAAATAAATAAATTTAAAAACAAGCAAACAAACAAAAAAACAACTCTCACTGGAAACCAGCCTACACCACAGGTCCCAGATCCCATGTCCAGCACCATGTGTGTGGAACCAGCCCATTCCTCCATGCTTTCTCCACCCTGCAAGGTGCCACTTGCAGGAATCTAGTCCTGCTAGTAGTTTGCTCCCCTGACACAAGGAAGAATGAGGATGAATGATAAAGACACAGAGTTTAGTTTAACATATGCCCTCTAGGACAGCGTATTCCAGCGTGGGGGTTCTTGCCTTTAGTAAAGCTTGGAGGAGCAGGCTGGTTCCCCATGGGTGTTATCTGGGGCAAGGACTCCAGCACTAAGGGCTGGAGGCCAGGCCGATCTCCAACAAATGCTGGCAAAGATGCAACTAAAAAGGAATCTACTTTCCAAGCTAGTATAATCACTACACAACGCAGTATGAAGGGTCCTCAAAAAATAAATAGGGCTGGAAAGATAGCTCAATGACTAAGTGCCTGCTTAGGCAAGAGCAGGGACTGGGGTTTGATCCCAGGCACCACATGCCCTGCCAGTCCCACCCCCAGGTCCACCAAGACAGTCAAAGTGGTGCACACCTGTAATCCCAGCACTAGAGAAACTGAAAACATGAGGATCACTATGAGTCCAAGCTGCGTAGTGAGATCCTGTACCAAATACATAAAAAATAAATAAACAAACATAGATACACCATTTGACCCAGCTGTACCACTCCTGGGTATATTTAAAAAAGAATTAAAGTTAGCATATTATAGTGATATTGCTAGAGGAAAAACAAAACTGCTCATTCCAGATGTTCCTATGTTGCACCTTTTCTTCTTCCCTTTCCCGTAACAGCTACACCCTGATATAATAAACAAACAGCTTCACCACATCCTGATATCTTACTCCACAGCCAGCTATGGCCACCTAGATGTGCAGAGTTCCAAACTGTCAGGTATGCATAACTGCTTTTGTTTTACTTCTGTTCCTTAGTTTGCTACCCTTTTCTCATCAAAGGTCCTATTACCCCTCCAAGCTCCTGGCTCAGACTGTGGAGTACATAGCACTTCTGGGCCTACAAGTATAATAATGCTTTCTTCTACTTCTGTGAATTCTGTTTTGTTTCTTTTCTTTTTTTTTTTAAATGCATTTGGTACAGGGTCTTACTACGCAGCTCAGATTCCTAGTGATCCTCGGGTTTTCAGTCTTTTCAGCACTGGGATTACAGGTATGTACCACTCTGCCCAGGCTCAGTGAGTCTGGGGATGGGGCTCGTGTGACATGTGGTACCAGGTCATTTGGTTTTTTCACCTCTGGTATACTAAAAGAGAGAGAGAGAGAGAGAGAGAGAGAGAGAGAGAGAGAGAGAGAGAGAGAGGAGTCCAATGCAAAAAAGGCAAGCTATCCAAACAGCTTAAATGTCCATCAAAAAAGAAAATGTGATACACACATACACACACACACACACACACACACTCTGAAGCATGTAAAAACATAGATTTGAGACAAAAGCCTGATGTTCCAAGAGAGCAGGGAACAATAGACAGTCTGAGGAGAGTTGCTGTCTGTTTGCAAATTCCCAGAAAGCTGGGATTCAAGGCTGCAGATAACAGCTTCTCCTACAGGCGCCTTGTCCTTTGATCCCTTACTTGGGATGCTATCAGCTTGCATTTGTGTGAACCTAGTGTTACGCAAATGGTGGAAGTCAACAGAGATAGTAGTTTGTATTCACTTAAGTAATTATGCACATTCCTTGGTCTGCCTTTACCCCTCAATAAATGTGAGATGCTTCTGAGGCTCTGAGCTCACTTGGAGAAAGACTAATCTCAGTGAGACCTCTGAAGCTATATTTATCAGGTTTTCTCCTTGTTTCTTTCAGCACCGACCCGTAACATACAACAGAAGTATTATTCAGTTGTAAAGAATGAAACTGTATAATCTGTAAGAAAATGAATGGATTTAAGAGACCAGCATGTTAAGTGAAATAAGCCAAGTTCACAAAGTTAGATGTCATACATTTTTCTTCTTTATATTCTCTTACCTACTTTTGCATTGCAAGGACATATCTGACACCTACAACTTAAGGAGGAGAAAATCATTTTGGACCTTGGTTTTAGTTTATCATCTGCTGGCTCCGCGACAGAACTGGCATGGTAGAAAGGCATAGTAGCAAATGGCTGCTTAATACATGGCAACCAGGAGGCAGAGTGAAGAAGAAGGAGCTGGGGACAAGAATATACCCTTCTGAATAGCACCCTATATGTCACTGACTTATCTTCAAGTTCCATCTCCTATAGTATACTTAGCCACTTAACTTATCAATGGATGAATCCACTGATAAGTATGGTGCCCCACGATCCAATTATCTTCCAAACACATCTGATTTTCGGGGGACAGTTTAGATCTAAACCATATCAAGTAAGTAGAGTGAGTGAGTGAGTGAGTGAGTGAATGAATGAATGAATGAATGAATGAATGTGAGGAAAACACAAGGCAGTATTTGGTGATAAGAAAGAAAATGTGATTAGAAAAGAACAAAGGGAGAGGAATATGTTAAATGTATATAGTAATTTATTAAAATAAACCCACAGAATGGTGATTTACCAAAATGAACCTTACCATTCTACATTACTAACATGTACTTAAAAGAGACAAAGATGAACGGGGTGGGGGGGGAGGAAGGAATAAAGAAGGAAAGGAGGGAGAAAGGGTGGGCAGAAGGACAGAAGCACGGATGGCTGACTGATCAAACGAACTTTGAATTGGGACAAGATGATGCCTTGAGGGCATCTCAGAAATCAGCAAACCCATCTAAAAAAGATTAAATCTTTCATTTGAAAAGGAAGTCCCTAGACACCTGCTAAGAGGGGTTGCCTAAGGAACTGGTTCCCTGGAATTCATTTCACCATGGTTTAGCTATTCTGAGGCCACTGCAGCCAGGGTTCAAGGAATCTTGCTTACTGACTGAGTTGCTGGCAGAACTTGATATAGTCCAGGAATGCTGGTTGTTTAGGGATGCAGAAAGCAAGAGCTGTTGGGTCTTGCAAGCTTCTACTCAGATTTGAAAGGAAGGCTGGAGGCTAGGCAATGGATCCAAAATGTGGGTGTATGAAACTGTGGGAACAAAGCTGAAGGTGCACTGGAGATCTCAGTAAGTTAAGAGAACACTGAATGCCAAGAACACTGAAGGTCCAACAGTGAAAGCTGGAAAGAGTAGAGCCAGGCCAAGGCAGGACAGGTAACTGGCAAATGACAAGGCTATAGCACTGTTTCACCTAAACCCTCTAGAACTCACACCTCATCATCATGGGTTCTGGATGCTAGTTTGCTTTTTGGTCTCAGAGAAGACATTTGGACTTCTGAGCAAAACTACAATTGCTAAGCCTAAGAGAAGGGATTACTGCAACTTGTGTACAAGATAGTTACATCATTAAAGGTGCAATGTTGAGCTGGTTACCACTTTATTTGGAGGTATGGCTTCAGGAGATTGGTTGTAGTGTCACGGTAAAAAAGGGTGGAATGCAATGGTTTATTTTATTTTCAGTTTGTTTGGTTTGGGAAGTGCCTAGGGGATTAGAACAACAAGTGTCTGGATGAGTAATAGAGATGTGGTCTTGGGATACATCTCTTATTTCTGACACTTTCCCTTGCTCTGCTTTTTGGAAGCCATGAATTGAGCAGCTTTGCTCTATCATGCTTTTCTACAATGATATTCAGCCAATGCCTTTAACTGACTGTGAAACTAAGGAATTACATACAATAATCATAATCACCTCATTCAATTTCTTCACTCAACATAGATTTACTAAAAATTACTATTATAACATTATGCTAAAAATCTACGCTTGTGGCAAATAACTTTTAAAGTATGAGAATTTTCTGTAAGTCAAAGCTTTTTCCCTAATTCTGTTTCATTAGAACTTATTAAGGAAGATTCTAAAGAAGATAGCCATGATTCTATATTTGGTACTTGTAAGGCAAAAAGAAAACCCTAAGACTAGGGAGATAGCTTGGCATTCTAAGTGCCTGCCTGGCAAGTGCAAGGACCTGGGTTTTATCCCCAGTAGTGCACGCCCTGTTTTGGCCCTGGAACCCCGAAAACCAGGCGTGGTGCTGCACTTCTGTAATCCCAGCACTGGGAAGACTGAGCCAGGAGGATCACTACAAGTCCAAGCTGTGTAGTGAAACCCAGTACCAAACAAACATTAAAAAATATATTACAAAGCCCTAAGTACCTTTCTAGTTTTTAAATTATGATTAAATTAATTATAATTAAACTAATTTCAATGTCTACGTGCAAATGGTAATATTAGTTCTGATCTAATATATAAGGCACATATACATGTATAATATATACATACGTAGTATATATAACATGGATAAGCTTTAAGATGAAAAAAAGTTGAACTAAAAACATGAAAATTATTTCATTGTTACCATATTCCTTCGATAACTACTGATAATTTTGTTGCATACTACCACTTTTCCTTAATATATTTAGATTTTTTTGAAGGGAGAAAATATAGTACATTTCTGCCACCATCTCTTGGAAAGGAACTAAGACAACATAGGCTTTAGACCCAGAGAAGTGGGAGTTCAAATGAGAAATGTAACATATTGTAGAGATATGATACAGAAGCCTGCTGTCTCAAGGAAGCAAAGACCAAGAAACAGAACCTAAAAAGACAAGTTGTCTCTTGTAAATTCCAGCAAGCTGGGATACAAAGTCACAGATAACAGCATTTCCTGGAGGCACCCTGTCTTTTCTTTGATCCTTACCCTGGGATGTTACCTGCTAGTGTTGTGTGAACTTAAAAGAGTTTGGTGAATGCTGGAAGCAATATAGATAGTAGTTCCTTTACCAAATTAGTTATGCACATTCCTTAGCCTGTTTTTAGCCCTCAATAAAGGTGAGAAGTTTCTTGGTGGCTCAAGACTCACTTAGGGCGGGACTAAGCTGAGTCGTCTGGCTATATTAATCCAGTCTTCTCCTCATTTCTCCAACTGATTTCATACAACTATAGCTCATTAAACAAATTAGTTCACTTGTGAAGTGGTAACTCTTTGAAAACTCACAAATTTTCAAAAGAAAATTTTGATCATGAATGTGCAGACTAAATGAGTTATTATATATAAAACATTTAATTAGTAAGTGTTCAGTAGATGTTTCATACTACTCCTTCCTTAAACCTTTCCCTTTTAAAGTTTGGCATCCCTTTCTTGCACTCATCCTTCAAAACCTTCATATGATTTCATACTGACAACTAGAAATCATACATTACCGGTAAGAATTATTCTCTAAGGCTCTTCTTTGGACACACTTCTTTAAGTATTGAAATTACAGTCCAATGAAAAAACTATCACAGGGAGTTTGGAGATTCCATTCCTCATTTCATTAATGACAGATATTTCTTTGGAATTTTCCCATGAAAAATAAAAGTGTTAAATTATATAATCTCTAAAGCCTTGCTTGGCTCTTTCAAATTTTCTAATACAATTATTTTGGATCATAAACAATTAGACACTTAGACCAAGAGATGTAGCCCATTTGAGAAAAGAGATCTGGTGAGCTATCTTGCCAGCCCTTGGTTTGTTTTTATTCACATCTATTTCTCCTCTGTTGGCTTGTAATACAAATTACTAAAAGATCCCAAGAAAGTAAGTGGTAGTATTTAACATCTTGTATTTTTATTTCCTACTAAAACTCATTCAGAAAACTAGGATCTTAACAATGAGAGAAAAGCAACAAACACAAAATAAACCCATTTGTTTCATAAATGTTATAAAACACAATCCAGAGAATTATTCCATTAGCTTCCCTGTTTTTCTAAACTCTACAGAATATTTCTTTCAAAATGGACTCCCTTGAGTATCTTTTTTTTTTTTTTTTTACAAAAGCGCCTCATGATATGACCACACAAACTTACAAAGAATTTAACCAGATTTGTAAGTACACCTTTCAAAACAAACACCAGGTTCATGATAAGGTTTTGCATTGCATAACATTGAATTGTCTAGGTAAACATCTTTATTATCATTTATAATTTGCTGTTTCTAATAAAAAAAAAAAAAAAGACTGCAACTACTGCATAGTAAGTAAAAATCCAAGGAATTTAATGCCCAAGATTTGTACAGCTCTTGAAAGGGAATTTTAATGTGCATGTTTTTTGCAAGGGTCTATTTTGAATATCACTACATAGAAAATCTACACTAAGACTTTGGTTAGAAATAGTTCTCCATGAATGCAGCAAAAAGCTAATTTTACTTTAGTGTAGATTACCTTATGTGTCTCAAAATATTTTAACCCTTTTTTTTTTTTAAAAAAAAAGATACATTCTCACTTGGTAACCTAGGGTAACCTTGAACTCTCAGAGACCCTTCTGACTCAGCCTCCCTAGTGCTGGGATTATAGGCATGCACTACTGGCCAAAACATTTTAATCTTTTTTTTGGTACTGGGGATCAAATTCAGGACCTCGTTCTTGCCAGACAGGAGCTTATGCCACTGAGCTATCTCCCTGACCCCATAATATTTTAAACTTAATAACCCAATTTTCTCTTTTTAATTCAAGTGAGATGAATTACACTTACAGTTTTCTGAAATAAATAAATGGAAACTGGCACAAGATTATAGACTGACTTATAATTATAAAAATCTTACAGGCACTAACCTCTAATAGATTAAACCATCAAGAAAAGGAGAAGACAAAAGAATAATGAGTATTCAAATAAAAACTTGAAACTCATTAGCAAAAATTACATCATAAAGAAAAGCTAAAATTAAAGGGAAGAGTTTAAACTTACTGGATTATCTGTGGAATCATCAGCCAACTGCAAACCAAAATAGTCTCGCTCAGTTAAATCAAGATGCTTGAAGACTATATCCAACAGAACTTGCCCCTGATCATGTTTCTAAAAGAAAAATAAAATAAATTTTAATAAGCTTATATATGTTATGCTTTTTAACATACTCAATTTTCTTTCTTCTTTTAAAATGGTATCTGCACTTACAGCTGTGACTCAAGAGTAAAGACTTCACATATAACATACCACTTTCAAACGAACTGGTCAAAGATATGTAAAATATGAAGATATAAAGAAATCTTTGAAAGTGTCTCCTGCCTTTAGCCTACTATCATGGTATTTTTGTTATTTCATATCTATTGCCATATTGCCTCATATATTTATGCACATTACTTTTTTGCATTTTGTTCTTACATTTAAATTATGACTGTCAAATGACAAATATAATTCTGTGTAAAATAATGCCCAGAAAATGGAAAAAATGTTAAAATTATTTGTAACAAATTTGGGAAAAGACTTATTGTCATTACAAAAGGACTTAAAGATCTTTAGAAAAAATCTCACTTTAATCTTATACCAATCTGTCATGAAAAATTATTAATTATCCCCTTGTTTTAGTAAAAACTCCACATTCCACAGCTACTAAATTATGGTACAAAAGACATTATATTATTCCTTAAAAAAATAAAGCTTTAGGGGCCGGGGAGATGGCTCAGTGGAATAAGTGCTTCCCTGGCAAGCGCAAGGGCCTGAGTTCAATCCCCGATTCTACAAAAAACATACATACATACATACATACATACATACATACATACATACAACTAAGCATAAAAACACAGAAAAATGATCAACGTATTCAGAATAAAACTGAAAAATTACAATAACATCATGCATAAGTTACAATGCAAAAAATAAAGTTCAATGAATAAAGATACTTAATTCTGTTAATATCTTATCTTAATTCTGACTTATCTTTTGAGAAAAAAAATTGGAAATATTAAACAAAAGCAATAATATCAACTACTGATATGCTAATGCTAACCTAAATAGCAAAATAAAATCCAATTTTGGGGAAAATAGTTATACACACACCAGTATGCTCACTGCACAATTATTTATATAAGGAAAATATTAGGAAAGCATAGTAAACGGTCATTTTACCACTAAATTCTCCTCTTAATTAGCGATGGTGGTTTGGAAGTTCCCAGTTAAAAATAATCTCAGAGCCAAAACATTAAGGATGTAGTTTTTTCAAATAATACTAAGTGCAGAGATTCAACAGATTCCAAAGTTATATGATTTACCAAATGAGAGATACAATCAAGGACCAGTTTTCTTTCCACTTCCTTTACCTAGAATCCAGCATTGGTTGTATTTAAAGCTTTCAGCATGCCTATTATACAATTTCAAGGTTCATTCCTATACAGGACAATGTTTAAGAGTTACCTTTCACCTTCTTTTTGTTTCTTTTTGTCTGGAACCAGGTCAAATAAGACTTGCCAAATCAGTGGCAAGAACTATGTGCTTCAAACACTGTATCTCAATGTTCACACACACTCAGTTACCTGCAAATATTTTTTATGTTGACATAACCTTCCTCCTCACCTCTTCCCATTCTGTTTAAATTGGTCTGAGGAAGAGGTCAAACATTAGTCTGTTCTAAATGGTACTAAGAAGAATCTAACATGTTCTCCTAGTCAAGACATAGTAGGTTGTAGATTCCATTCAACTGGAAGTATAGCAAGTTCAGTTGATTGTTACATCTGGACATACTAAAGCAGATTTTTAAAAATATTTTTTTAAACTCCAAAACATGGAAACAAGGCAGCAAAACTAGTGCAGATTATATGCGGCTTTGAACAATGAAATGTAGATGTTAAGAATAAAGACAGATTAAGAGACTACCATAGCCTGTATACCATTCAGGGGGCCCTGGGTTCAACCTCCAGTATTGCCCCCCCCCCCCCAACTAAAATGACAGAGAGTACTGTAGTAAGAAGTATAATGAAGGGCTAAATAGGACTGGTACTGATAATGAAGACAAATAGGCCCATCCCCCTCCCACCCCCAAAAGGCAACATTGGCAAAAAAAAGTAGGATGAGACTTGAAACATGATGTGTCCATGTGTCTAGGCTAGTCAAATATGTAGTTGGTGGTACCATTCGCTGATATAAGCAACAATATACAAAATACAGCAGTCTACGAGAACTGAATTTTCTCAAGAACAGCATTTTAAGAGTCTATGATTCAGCTAAAGGAGGAATGGTAGGTAACAGACGAGAAAAATTCAACTGAAAAAAAAATCATATAAAGATAAGGCTCAAACTGGACATGTCTCTTCTAGCATCCAACCTGTTTGCCAGTAAAGACATCATTTAGCACTTCCCTGAACATCTGGGGACACCTGCAAACTTACACAAGATGCCTCAAGGACTTTGCCCACTGAGGTGTAACACAGTCAGAAAACATTTTTTTTAATTTTATAAGGTCAAGTTTAATTTATTTTTATTAGCATACATTTGCAGTACATACTATTTACATTTATCATGGGGAGTTCTACATATACATAAAACCTCTTAATTCTTACATCTTCTCTTCCCTTTCTGTCTCTCTCTGCTCTAACTCCTGATCCTTTCCCATTCTGGACACCCTTTCTGTTTTCTATCAATTATGAGTTCATCTCCTTCCCCTCTTCTCCCTCCATCATTTTAAAAAATTTTTTTAGTTTATTTTTTTCCATAATTTTATTGAGAAACAAATGGCAATGAGACAGTTTCAAACCAAATTGGTAGGACAGTTTCAATAATTAACACATTACATACATTCTTCCAAGTAGTTAATTGCTGTACAAGATGCGAACATGATATCCTATTTACAAACACTATTAGAACAAATCCCTCTATTCATTAAGAGAATGTAACTATAGTATATGGTTAGTATATGTAACTATACTAACCATTTTGAATACACAGATACAAAATGGATA